AACATTTTAATGTGTTGATTTCAAAATAACTCATTACTGATCTGTGGACATTTCACATTTTAGAATTCAGAGAGTGTTGTTCCATATTTCACTTTTTCATAGTCTATACTTGTACATTTTTATTCAATGCTCCTTATTCTAAAAGAATCGATATCAGCACACCAACACACACACACACTCACGCATACATACATACTGTCTTTTGTGTTCCAATCGATAATGCAAACATAAATAAAAGATTTTTCCCTGTTAATCACTGATTAATAATCATAGATAAACATTGTATAAATAGGCATCAGAAGAAAAAAAGAGAAAGGCTGCGATAGGCTGAAAGGTTAATATTGATGCGTAAAGATTTTTATTACCCTGTTAGATAGAGTTTTATTAATCTCAGATTCTTTATTTGATGTTATTAATTATTTATTGAATATATATATTTGATAATAATTGATATAATTTATTTCGTTATATTGATAGATAGTGATTAGTTTAAACAGATTATTCTGTTTTATCCGTTCATTAAGAATTAATGAGATGAGAGCAAATATACGCTTGTATAAGTTAAGATGAAAATTCTTTCCTAGAATGGATTATTCATAATCGTATTTATTAGAAGTAAATATTTTCTAAGAGAAAATGTAGAGATCGGTGAAATTCTGATCTCTAATAAGAAAATAGACAAAACTACTAAGCATTCTCATCTTGTGTTAATAATTATCAGCATGGTTAATTTTATGTTTAGTGGTTAAAGTGAATTTAATTCTAAACAGTTCTGTGTTTGTATCATCAGTTTGTTAAAAATTAGATAAGCATTTTGAAAAGCATATGAATAGTTTGGTTAGAAAAAAAGAATCTGCACGACAAAACTCTTGTACACATTTGTAAAGGAGCTCCATAAGTTTCAAAGATATATTGGATATAAAGAAGAGATATTATTTCTTTTGACATCGGAAAGTAATGCACCTAGATTGTATGAAATCAGTTGGGTATAAGTGTAGTTTTTGTATTTCCTAGATATTTTCAAGAAAGATAACGAAATGTTAAACGATTGAACTATATTGTGCAAAGAACCGAACAATACAAACATTATGAAATAATCATTAATTTATCTTTGCAAGCATGTTCGGGATGCGATTATCCCTCGTATCTGCCCCTAAACTAGTGATAGGGAGTGAAGCAATCGGGCATGTTGACCGTTTCACTTATCTTGGGAGTATCATCAGTGCTGACGGACTGATGACTGATGAAATCTCAGCACGGATACAGAAGGCTCGATTGGCTTTTGCCAACTTGCGTCACCTATGGTGTAAACGAGATATCCGTTTGCTGACTAAAGGACGAGTGTACTGTGCATCAGTTAGCTGCAAAACATAGCAGGTCAGAGTAGAAGATATTCGTGAGTTACTGGTTCTCGATCATAGGTGTCTCTGAAGCACTGCTCGTGTATCAAGGGACAACCAAGTAAGCAATACTGTCGTTAGGTAAGGATGGCATATCAATAGATGAGGTATTGAAACTTTATCAGTTGAGGTGGTTGGGACATGTGTTGTGTATGCCTAACCACCGACTGCCTCGTCGAGCTAGGTTTCACGGTGTAGCACTAGGTTGGAAGAAAGCTAGGGGCGGCCAATCCAAAACATGGCAGAAATGCATAAAGTCACTGACAACTGGAATAAGTCATGTTGATAGATGTAGACTACCTGGTTGGTGTCTGCGAGACGAAAGTAATCGATCGTTAGAGACCTTGAACGATATGGCTCAAAACCGTTTGCAATGACGCAGGCGCATTCATTCATTGCATTCTTTCTTTCAAAGCCTAACCTTCTGAATTCCTCATCACTTTATCTTTTTAAGTTTATTTCACTAGATTCTACTTCTTGAATAATATCTTCGAACCCTAATCTCTCCGATTACTATTAATATTTTTACTACCTTTACTACTATGGGATGTGAATCGACAATTACATCTCTGTGCCAATGTGGTATGGTGACTCGAAATGATGTACGTACGTAAGTACGAAGTTCTTTGTTGTTTTTGATGTTGACTGACTGACTTAATCTTCGTTGAAGACATTCAATCACTTAATGTCAGTTTATTTAGACTAGTAGTCAAACAACATCATCATGATCAATAGAATTCGATCAGTGCTAAGGGATTAAATAAATGCGATATTGATAACTAATCAGAGATTTTTCAATTTTACATAAACATTTAGTTGTCAGTCACTAGAAAAAATTTCACATACAAAAGAGCATAAAACAAACAATTATTATAGTGATGTTGATCATTAGTAATCGTAAGAAGTCAACAACAACAACAACAACGATAAAAAAAACATCTAGAATGGAATATATTGTATAATGTGGAATTTACTATAATTTGTTCATTTTGATTTATTCGGTCGATTGTTGTTAAGATTAAAAAAGCAACTGAATTTGAATGACCTTCAGGAATCTGGAATCATTGAATAACTACTATTCTAACCTAGTGTAGGAATCTTCTGCAGGTACACATCCTTGATTTCACTAACGGAACTCAAAAACAGGATCTTCATTCATGTGGGAGAACGCCTAATATCCTAATCTAGATCTGTTCATGAACTCTGTGATATGAAAAACACTTTCCAAATTCTCATGCTCATTATCATCATATACTCCTCATCTATAGAGTTCAACTGAAGACAATAAACGATAGTCACATGATATATTGGATTAATTAAAATTAGTTTTGTAAATTATTTGTTCCTGGCCCATCAGTCTAGATATTAAGCATCCGTGTACGAGATAAGAAGGTATTGTGTTTGATCCCCAAATGGAGAGATGTTAGTTGTTCACCGTTCGAAGAAAAGTTTCGTACTCAGACAAAATAGCTATCCACAAATTTCATGTTTTTAATAGTTTTCTGATATCAATTGTTTCATGATCTCAAAACAGTCCTGTTTTTTTAAGTTAATTAAATCGATCACTATTTTCACTACTTCTCTTGTTAATTTACCTTGATTTTATGTAATAAAGGGGAAAATGTATGCAAATGTGATTGTCGAATAGCGCTCCTTCATTTTTTTTCTTTTCAATAATTTTGTCATTCATAACATGTTATTATTATAATTATCATCATCATCATCATCTTCGTTTTTGATGATGATGATGATTATGCTTGAGTAAGTGTTGTGATAAAAAACTTATTGAATTATTTAATAAATTAAGAGTTACATTTTATTTCCAATCTATTTGTCTCATTTTCTTTGTTGCCTTCTTCTCCCATATTGATGACAAACAAGAAAAGAAAAATGATATTATCTATGTACCTATCTGTGATGTAGTTCAGTTGTTCAATGAAATAATGATGATATTATTATTAGTATGTTTTTTTTTTCTGTTCAAATAACCATACCTCTACAAATAATTCGACTAGACATTAATATGAATTATTAATGTCTCTGGAGTTTATTGGCACGTGCATAGAAAATTTTTTTTTTACAATTCAGTAGTTATTTTTTTCGTTACATGCATCATTTTTATGTATGTTGATAATAGAAATATTAGTATGAATTTTTACATATTTGAAATCATCAATCAATCATTGTTAGACTACCATTAGAAACCTGGAAGCACTGGACGGCCGTTTCTTCCTAGTATGGGACTCATCAGCAATGCACATCCATGACTCTTGTGTGCGAACGCCCAGTCTCTGTACCGAAGGTCTCGTGTTCGATTCCTGCGAGGTGCAGGAGTCGTGCGTGCGCACTGCTGATGAGTACCATACTAGGACGAAACGGCCTTCCAGTGCTTCCAGGTTTCTAATGGTGGTCTAACAAAGATTGATTGATAATTTCAAATGCGTAAAACACTGATCTCCATAACTCTAATTGAAAATTTTATATATATATATATTTATATATATATTTAGTCCAAACAAACGAATAAATATCAATAAGTCTAATAAAATAAATATATTATTATGATGATTGTTAGATTTATTACAAATTTCTCTCTTTTAGAGACTATTCACAATTCTTATACTATCTCATTTATTCATGCATTCACTCTCTTGTTTTACCTGCGTATTGATTTTTCATTGTCGGTCATTTTCGTGATCCAACTTCTTCATTTCATTGTCTTTTTTTTTACTAAAAAAAAGTAAAAATGAGAAAAGGTAATAAATAATAAGTAGGAAGTCGGTTTATATTTTTTTAAAAAACAACGATATAAGCATGGTCTTCAGATTAATTATTAACAAAGCTCTCTCTCTATGTATGTATATATGTATATTAGACAACATTTACATGAAAGTAGTATACATTGACTTGTTAGTTCAAAAGATTTCAAATTAACTCATGGTCATTGTTACTTTCGAGATAAAAGAACAAATCACAGTACAATGTGTTTACGATGAAAGCAACTTCTTTAGTCCTCAGTTTAGAAATTCTTATAAAACTATTTTGTCCAATCAAAATTGAGCAGCACATATTAACCAATCAGAATGTAGCTACTTGATCAATTGTTAAGATTATCACTAATATTAATCATAACAATAATGATAATAATAATTACTAATTATATTAAAATTCGATATAAAGAGTGAGCTTATTTCCAATGAAAGTTAATTAAACAGTAAAGAGTTCACTGAAACATTCAAACTGATTAATTTTCATTTAACCTCTGACATTTTAAAAAAAGATCCGAAAAATGATATGATTCAACTGAGGCAGCATTGTATTGATTTGATCTCTTTCATGATGTAACACTCATCAGTAATTCTGATGATTTTATTAAAGACAGCATTCAAGTGTTGTATGATTTTCAATATTCAAAGTAACAATATCATGTACATGTTAATTTATTAAGAAAAGTTATTGTTATAATCACTATTTTAATATTTTTATATACATTATTTAAACTACATACTCCATGTATGAATGATCATTTTTCTAATGTACTGTTTTTCTCTATAATTTTTCTTCCCCCTTTTTTTCCCAATAAAAAAAAACACAATAAAGAAAAACCACAAATTATTGAAGAACCTAAATCAGTCATAACAATTGTTGGACAATCTGTTCTATTTGTATGCCTTGCTGAAGGGAATCCAGCACCAAAAGTTCAATGGAAGGTAAATTTACAGTTTGATAATTTTTATAAACAGAAAAAAGAAACGATAATTTTGTTCGATCATTATGTATAGATTGTTGTTGTAATCAAATCATGCACATATTTCGACTTTATTTCAATGTTATGTAATGCAATGGGAAGTCGTCAGTTAAGGAATTAGAATTGCATCCAATAAATCATAGCTTCAAGCCCTACTTCATCCAATTCAACCGTATAGTATTACTTGTCATCACACCTAAGTTTTGGCTCAAAGCCAATAACACAAATTTTTATATCTGGTAAACGATATGAGTGAATTGATGTCGCTCATGCTTAGAAACACCATCTCTAAGTTTCATTCTTAGTTGACAATTTTTAGCAAAATGTACATAGAATCTTGATAAAAATAATTCTTCCCTTGAGTTTTTATTCTACATTACTCAGAGCCATCGTCCAAGGTTATTTATTGTCACTGAGCTATTCGCGCTGAGATTGACTGCTTTATTGGACAGTCTTATTATTCACTCATTAGGAAAATTGTTATTTATGAAGTAACTAAGATAATGACTAGTTTGACTAGTTTCCTTCTCATTAGGAAAAAGTTATATTCACTGTTTAAGTCAATTGAGTAGACTGCCTTCCAGAGTTAGTTATATGACAGTTGGAATTAATTTGATTCAACTTTAAACATTTCCAACTGGTTGAACGTTTATATATTCAACGAATAACAAATAGCCAATCATTAATGAAAGTGAAGGTTACATTAGTGAATATAGATTATTCCAGATAACAGAATTATAAACTCAAGAGCTAATAATATTCATTGAATGAATGAATTATTAATGTGAAAATACAATGTATATTTATATATTGTATGAGTTTATAATAATTATTGAATATTTAAGGATAAGAGTTGATTTTTTGTTTGATTTCAAGACAGCTAGATAGACAAGTAAAACAATTTGTTGAAAGTTTTAGGATTTTTTTTCCTCTAAATTTCTTAAAGTCTACCCCCCATTTTGTTTGAATAAAAACATATTCTTTATTATAGATGTTTCTATTTGGCATTTGTTTTAACTTACCAATCATCGATATACATTGTATAGTATAGCTTATAGTCGGCTACAATTAAGTACACTGTAATAGAACTGTTTTATATCAATTTATCTAATAATCAACTACTTTATATCATGAAAATTCTTAGAAGCATAGAAGTAAGCGTATATACTCACAGAGAGTCCGTTAGGAGACATATATATATAATACATCAGTTAAATTCTATTGCCACCAGTTACATACACAATAAGATTCTTATCCGATTATTATTTTTGAAACTGTCTTAGAGTGATCTAGACATTAACTAATTACTCTATTCACAAAACGTTATTAGTCAAATATTTAAATGTATTTTCATTTTCATATCGATGTTGAAAGCTTCTAGAATCTTGATGACACTCAAAAATCAATAAATGTTCGTTATTTTTTGAAGTGAAGCAACTACATATTTCCTTGCCCTCCAGTTTCACTCTCGTTTCTAGCATAGAACATTACATGAGTCTACAAATCGACTAGGTTATTGTAACACAAGCAATAAATGTACATGGCAGTACAGAAAAGTTTTTACACTCACATCAAACCTTTAGCCAAACGTATAATGATGAATAGAAAGCGGGAATTATTAATTGTTGTGGACATTTCAGAAGTTCTTGGTAGCATCTTTTTAGAAACTGGGGGTAAGACTGAAAGTACTTTAACCAACCAGCATACAATGAAACCTTCCAGATAGTTCGTAAAAGACGATGGATTACTCTGACTTAATTATTATTGACTTAATGGCTAATTTCGGTTACACAGAAAATCAATAACTATCCTTGTATATTTTCTTAAATTATCTTTGGAAGTGTAAGCTTCTCAAAATCTTCATGTTTAATCTTCCATTCAAGGTTCAAATGTAAGAAGGTTTTTTAAAACCGAAGCTAGTGTATAAATCTTATGTCAGAAGTTTCAATATCAGATTTAATTATGAATGTGATTAGTTCTTGATATTTTGGCTAATTAAATTGTTGAAAGTCTTTTTAAAACAAAAAATTAATTTTTTTATTCACATATACCACTTATGTGTATATACATTTCCAGGTGTCAGGAACATCAGTATCAGAGTCTAGATTTGGCAAAACATTTCGTGCATCACGTGGTTCTATTCTGCGTGTGAATAATGCACTGCCATCATATAATGGTGCACTGATCACATGTACTGCTGCAAATGCTTTAGGGCAAGCTGAAAGTAGTGCAACTTTAACAGTATACTCTGATGAATCAAGTAAGTGTTAATTTTTTGTGGATTTTTTCTATTTTTGAAAAAAATTTGTTTTGATCAAAGTAATATATAAACTTTTTTCTGTAGAAAAGATAATTTATCACGAATCTATTTATTGATGATCTTTGTGGCCTTAAACAAATAAGACATTTGATTTCATCTAGTGAATGGAGTATGTTTGTTTGACTAATGTCAGTTTCACTATATATTACAAAAAGACCTTCAATGCAGCTAATCTGAGGCTTATCACAACAACTCAATCGATCTCAGTTACCCCAATCAAGTCTCCAAGACCGATTCAGTCCAAATCCCACTGTATTTACCAATTCACATGTAACTGCGGAGAAAGTTACTTGGGTAGGACAGATCGCCGATTGGAAGACAGGATAGGAGAACATATTCCAAAATGGTTAATCAAATCCATGATTCATCAAGCTAGCCCGTGATCTCAAAATCGATCAAGAAACCCAGCCTCGTCCATTACAAACACATCTAATGATGAGTGGTCATCAAATTGACCTAAAATCAGCCTTTAAAGTTGTGACATGTCATCAAAACCCACACACACACACTGAAACTACTTGAAGCTATCTTGATTGGTCGTAAAAGTCCAACTTTATGTGTTCAAAAACAACTGTATGTTGACCTTTGTTTAGCATGGTTCTAGTGAGTGAATGTCATGCTAAATAAGCTATTAAATTTGTTTATCCGCCTAATTTACTTCATGGGTTCACATCTTGGTGAAGAAAATTCTTCTGAAGAGAAATCTGAACCAGGGAAAAGGTTGAATAACTGGAGGTAGTCAAACGAAAATCTCATATCCTTGATGTTTTACGCACCCTGATATATTCAAATTTGGCTCACCCAATTCCATCATCTTGGTTAATATCACTGAGTTATTTTCTTGTTTAACTGAGACAAGTACAATTGATTGATCATTGAATAGTGTGATCAATGCCATGTCTGAAATTTTTTTTAAAATTCGTTTTTATTATAGCCATTATATACAACCAATCAATAAGGATGCATTAATGTTGTACTAGTTTATCATTGTACGTCGAAACAAACCTTGTACATTGAATATGAATCTTTATATAACCATATAAGTAGTACGGCATGAATGAATGAATGAATGAGAAAGTGAATTAGAGAATAAATCAACAATTGAAATGAAAAAAATCTTCATATCACTTCTTTCTCTCAATTCAGTTCAGCTCAGTTAAGTGGATTATCTCAGTTACTCAAAATGATGAGATTGCATTTCCAATACTAACGACCATATAATATTCACTCATTCATGATAATATCATGAACAAGTATGAAGATGAATTCATTTTTTGCAATAATCATTTTTCATACTGTTCATGATCATACTGTTAATAGCTGTTTTAGTGGCTCACGATTGAACTCCAGAGTGGACGAGTGAATGATCGAGTATGTCATGAAATAAATCTTCCTTTCCACTTCCGTATATTATTATTTAAGCTAACTCCGTTTGTGTAACAGCGGTATTAAGAAGGCCAAATACTGTTTCACGGATGAATTTATTTCAAGCAATCAGTTATGCAGACAAACCTGGGTAGGAAAGAGAGTGAGGCGAGTGAGCCAACTCTCATGCATTGAAGCAGTGTCTACCGAAGACTGTGTATGAGGTTGCGCAACTCCGTGAATTTGATCAAGTTAGACATTAACACTGTTAGATACCGCCTCAGTGGTCTAACGGTTAGGGCGTTCGCGCACAATACCGAAGGTTCTGGGTTCGAATCCTGCGGGGTGCAGGAGTCGTGGATGCGCACTGCTGAGGAGTCCCATACCAGGACGAAACGGCCGTCCAGTGCTTCCAGGTTTCTAATGGTGGTCTAACATTGATCGATTCATGGTTTCAAAAATAAGTATTTATAGTCAAACAATAATAAGCTAGATATGTTAAAGGCGAGTAAGCATACTCACTCACACACACACACACACAATCAAACACACGATAATCGGTACTGTGATCAAATTATTACAAATACAAAAATATGATCGATACTATTATCGAATAATTTAAACAACTAATCATTGAAGTATGAACAATGAGTGATGAGAAGCTAGATTAATAGTGGTGGAAGTTCGGTAGACAGAGAGAGAGAGAGAGAGAGAGAGAAAGACCACGAGTCGTTACCACACAGTAATAATATTGATTATGTACATATACATGCAATAAACATGTAACTGTCTAACTTACTCGGAAAAAAAATTCTGTGTACGTTGAGAAACAAAAAAGCAAACCCATTAGTTGATATAATAATCATAATAATCATGATAATAATTTTCTACCTGATAGACTGGAATGAAATAAATATGTTATATACTACTAAAAAAGTATAAGTTTAAGGATATAGTTGAAAAAATGTGTCAATCATCAGTGGTGTTGTATTAAGTTAAAAAAATTATTTTCAGGATATAAAAGAATTTGTTAAAAAAAAGACATGTATAAATGTAGGAAAATTTATGGAAAATTGTTGAATTTTTTTTTTTAAAAAAAAAGTTTAAATTAGACATGGTCTTTAGTTAAACAAATATTAAAAACCATGAAACACTAGTTTAAACATCAATGGCCCTCACGTAAAGATTTAAATAAGAACTCATTAGGTCTCAGAAGAAACTGCTACCATCCAATAACATTGCAAGATGGTTTGTTTAGTTCATCGTAAATTGACTGTAGTGAGAAATGTAAGCCATTGAATGTTGTTAGCATAATGGTTTTAAAAATGAAATGCTAGCTGTGAGATTTAAACCTCTCTGAGTTTAATCCCCTCTAGGGGCTAGTGGATATTGGCAACAAGGCTTATTACATGAGTGTTATCGTTTTACTTTCGTTGGTTGTTCAATTGAGATGAGTTTCCATTGTAGAACATGGTTTCTATGGTTACTGTTGTCTAAAAAGATGTGTTTTACTTCTTGATAATAAAGTAGATTTTATTCAAACATCTATGTATTGTCATTTTGTTTAACTGTCAATGTGTCAACATAACATAGACAAGAAAGACAATGATGTACGCTCAAGTAGGAATTTGATTATAACATGTCGACTAATCCGAATGTTCATTGAGAACTATTCATATCATATATTTGGAATAACCGGAAAGCTATTTAGTTCATTAAGATGAAATACACTTGTAGTAATGTTTATTAGTAAAGTAGTTAATTTATTGACAAGAGATTATGAACAGAATCTTGTAAATATTGGCGCCAATATGATTGCCATGTCGCTAGATTAGATTAATACCACCATATCTACTATGTATGTATGTATGTACATATGTATATTACAAGTTTAGATGACGATTTTCATATTTGAAATAAACATTTTTTTCATTATACCTGTCGATAAAGGTACATTTTTTTTTGATGAATGATTCTTAAGTAATAAACAATACATAATAAAATGTTAGAATGAATTCAAGAAATCAAGCGAAATCAAGTACTTGATTGATTGTTTCGTATTATCAGAACAATTAAAAACCATATTTAAAATAGATTTGATCCATTGAAACATTGAATACAACTTTCGAATAAATGACAAAGTTAATTGGATGAAAATAATAGTTTTATGAATTATCGCTTATTTTGACTATTTTAAACCGGATCTATGATTGAAGTCATCACTCATATATATATACATGAATGACGACTTTGTTATGAAAAAAAAGAATTCAATTTATGCGCAGTCCTAGTGTAGTGAATGAGAACACAGGTGGGGCAACCGAATTGTATTTAGCAAAAACAACAGAGTTACTCAGTAAAATTGGAAAACCATATCGTGAATCGTTAATTTGCAAAGTATTAGTTCATCCTATCGAACTGGACTGTTCCTGTTGCAAAACATCAATCCATTGTCACTATTCATGCGTTTCATACAAATTCCATTGTTTTCTATCTCTTCCTTTCTTGATCTTCCCCCCATATTATGCTGCCAGACATTACGTTGACACTCACGTCATATACTACTTATAAGTAGCTCACACCACACTAGATTTACACAATTTGTAATTTGAAACTAGGATTTTTCTTTTCCAAATATAATCTCTGTTTCAAATAAGTAGTATTGTTTGTTGTTACTAGAAATTTCTCAGTGTTTTCCAATTGTTTTGACTCTGCTGTTTATAAACACTTTTCTCTGTGATAAATTATTTACTGGGCAATGATGAGTATCATTTTTTTTAACTTTTTCTTCAGTGTTTTTCGTCTTCTATCAATTAAGTTGCTTTATGTGATCAGCAGGATAGAAAATATGTCCGGACTAACACTAAACCATGATTGAATCATGGAATATATCGGCTGAAATCCAGTTTAAATAAGTATGCTTAGTATACATAATTCTCTCTTTTTTTAAAAATATTCCTGCGAGTTGGAGGAGTCGTGGATGTGCACTGCCCTACCAGGTTGAAACGGCCGTCCATTGCTTCCAGGTTTCTAATGGTGGTCTAACAATAATTGATTGATGATTTTATATGTGTAAAATAGTTTATTCGATTCACACATTAGATACTACTTATACAAATTGTATTATACCAAAATTGAAATTTCAAATAAAGTGTAACATATAAGAATATTTATCATCATTCGAACGAATAAATTGAAAGAAACTGACTTTTGAACATGCTTTTAGAAGGCAATATTTTTAAAAATAATGCCACAAATAATTTTAGCGATTTAAATTTTAGATATTTCTAGCATCCAACCGATTTATCTTGAAGGTAATACTAGTAATAATATTAATAACCAAAATCGAGAATATCAATTAGTATGGATTGTTTAACAATCAATTAAGTTCACGTTAAATATTGATTATCCAGTCATGTCTATAGTTATACCGACACACATACACACACACAAATATTGATTCTGTTACGCATGCTTGAACTATTACGAGTTTACCTTAGTCAGAAAACGAGAGCGAGGATCGATGATCCGGCGAGAAGACAGGCTACTCTAATCTGATTGTCCCAACCCCCCAT